AAGATCCAAATCACATATTGGGTTTGTCAATTTGCAGGATGAGGAACTGAAGACGGCCAAGAGGATTCCGGACAGGAAATTCACGGATTTGTCGGGAAACAATGTATTCAAAGGGGATGCTCCGTCTGCAGCAGCGGCTGAGAGGCTTCTAAGCTCGGCGAAGTTGAAGGAGATAAGTGGGAATGACATATTTGCTGATGCAAAGGCTCAATCTCGTGACTACTTTGGTGGTGTTCGTAAACCACCAGGAGGAGAAAGCAGCATTGCCTTGGTCTAAAAACATTACAAACCTACTCCTACCAAAAATAATTATATAGTCCAAAATTAAATTTCTCTACAAAACTTAGAAGGTCTAACTATTTATCACCATTATAGATTATGTACTTTGGATGTTTTTGTTATTTTCTATGTTTCCGGATTTGTGTGATTGGTTTATGAAATGATCGAGATAGGTAATCGATCGGAATTTGTGGAGTTTATTCGTTTTATTTTATTTTTAACTGTGATGAGCACTGGTTTGGGTCTCTGTATTATTTGTTGCCAACAAATTGTTGGGTACTACTGGATTGATTTGATTTGTTATTTTGGGGCTAATCTTGTCATATAAGAAAACGATTATGGACCGTTTCTGCAAAAGCTGTCGTACACGTTTGGCGCAGTGGGTAGGACTGAGCTGCAGATCACAAGAATAGGAAGTCTGTTTCTTGTCTGGAAACGAAACGTTTGGCCCTGGTCTGCCCCAAATGGGAAACCTATGTAATTAGCTATCTAACCATATAGATGTTACGGCTTATGATATTCTGTATCATACATTACACCTTCAAATGACACGAGAAGTTCTTCTCCTTCCCACCTTTTTCTTGTTTTTTAGAGAAAATATTTCCTTCTTTCTCATTTTATTTGTTATCAATTTATTTACAAAACTAATTCAACCTTGCACGTTGTAATCCTAGTAGAGAAAATATAGATTTTTTCATTTATATATTTATTAAAACTTTTAAAAACCGAACAAAAAATATTCAATATGTAGATATGTAATCATTAAACGAAATTTTTAACGCCTATGTAATTAGTTTAGGCAAATCTTTTAGCCTTCATTTGTATAGGTTGTGTATTGGACCGATCTTTGAGATGTTTGGGCCATAATCTACAATGCCACATGCAACCGTCCTTCGTCACGGGTGGAGTGTCTGCCCGGGTGGTTGATGGCACAAAAATTAAAGACTATTTACCAGAAAGTAAGGAACAATCTCTTATACTAGTGACAAGGTTCAAAGATGATACTAAAGAGAGTTAGATATGAAATTAAAGAGTCTTTAGGTTCTAATGAAAATATATCATTGTAAAGAATACTAAAAATTAAAGTTTTATGCAAAGAGGTGATTTTGAAATACTTGGTTTTGCTACTGCGGTGAGAATGTGGTTCATGGGTAAGGATACATAGATGAGATAAAAATGGTTACTTTTTCGAGGTTAAATACTCTTCAGAGAACCTCTCAAGACGATGGCCACGTTTTATAAACTAGTTCACGCTAATTATAGAATTTCCTTAGCATTAGTCACATTCAAAATCCGCTGTTAGACATTCTATCCCAATGTCTAAACTAAATTTGTTACCAAGTCCACAAAACAATAGTCTAGAAAAAAATCAAATAACGACAAATATTAAAGAGAAATTTAGATAGTCTTTTTTTTCAATAACTCTCTAAGATAAATATTTGCGTATAGTGTATAATAATTTATTTCATATGGTTGATACATTTTTAACCAAACCAAAACAATGAATTAACTTGTTCGGTTTGCTCGCAAAAGAAAATCACTTTTAATTCTCCCAGACAAATCGGTTTTGTTTCAACCCAGTGATGGAAAGACTTTTTGTCCGGTTTATATTTCAAACCTAGAATCACTAATCCGATGTAGAATAGTTAGGTTCGTTCAAGACTCGAACCCTAGAAGCAGCTTCCAAAAGAGCACGATCAAGTTCCTCTACGAAGTTGGCAACAAGACAAATTTCGCTAGATCCCCTAGAAGAATATTCTTCGCTCTCTTCGGAACTTAGAAGAATTGGGTCGTTGTTTAGGACACTTGCCGGACTTGAATTGATTTGTTCATTATCTTCCTGGTTCAAGACATGGTCAATATAGTTGTTCTCATTACCTCCATTACCGACCGATAGTGGCATCAATATCTTCATAATTAAATTTGTTGGTCACTTGGCTACATGTACGTGTCCAGAAGGTTCATTCCAACATTCCCAAATTCGGATGTCACACCGTTTGTTTGGGTTTGATTGTGCGGTATGTTGTCATTGGCAGGATCTATTCTGCCTGTAAAAGGGAATGGTTCTGGTTTTATTTAGTTCCATATTTTATTACCCATAACAAAAATGACATACAAATATGTATTTTATTAGCCGCTAACTTTTTTCAAAACAGTTCTATGTGAAAGTGATTGTAGGTCAAAAACCTTACCATTGTCAACTTGTTCGACGTGGTTTGGTTCAGTACTTTGTTCCATTGGCCCGAGCGTTTCAATCTCCATATCTTCATAACCATCATCTCTGCCTCACTAAAATTTTCCTGGAGGACTCTCTCTGTCGCTGGAATTGTTCTTCCTGAAATTAGATCTGGTTTGATAAGGTGATGGGGGTTAGATATGGAGTTAAGGTTACTACAAACATAATGTAAGATATGGGTTTTTAGGGTTTTGCCATTGTATCGAATTTGAGCTTCGCGTTGCAAATTCTCATCTTCTGTCTCCGGCAGGTACAAATGGCGGGCAACTTGGAAGGGTCTCCTACATTGTAACTCATAAGTGGCGACGTTTTTCGGCCCTACAGTAACACACATAGTGAGTTCAGGATAGCAAAATCGTAACACCATGAACAGTCCAACATCTTCATCCATTTTGATATCGGTAGGTTTGCCTCCGTCTTCATATATTTCCGGCACTAACAGCTGTAGTCGGTAGGTAAAGGCCAACGGCGTCGACGCTTGAAGCGAGTATCGACTCCTAACGATCCGGACCAAAGATTCGCAGCTTTCTTGATCTCTGATGCTAGCTCCGTAACCAAGATCCGTAGGATTACTACGAATAATCA